AATTTTTGTTGGTTTTACATTTCCCACAGCAAACAGTAATAGCAGCAGAACTTCATTTTTCAAGTGTCTAATGGAGGACAAGAACTGGTCTAGCTTTCTTGTGCTCAAAAAGCAGAGTTCAATAGGTGAACAACTGGCATAAATACATATAAGATAGAGATTTTTAGACTTTTCAGGATTAATGATTATAAAGTGTTGAAACACTAGTAAATTATTTAAGAGGCTGTTTGTTTACATTAGGCGTCTTTATGTACTGAAATTAAAATTCAGTGTAACAGTATCGTCTCCTCTCTTCTCCAGTTCTATAAAACCCACATACACTCCTTGTCTTGGAAACAAGATAGCCTTGTCTTGTATCCTGTCTTTAGGTATCCTTCAGCCTCTAAGAAACATAGGATATGTGCACAGTTTCCTTGCTGACAACTATTTTTAGAAGAAATGTGTGATAGACATGTGTACACAACAATTATGGAGTGACTAATGTATCACTCTCTCTTGATGTCTGCCACTCACTGGGACAGTAAGACAAGCGAGTATTTTTTCTTGAAAACAACTTTAGTTTTCACTTCAGGGCAAAGAGCGACAGATGCAATCTGACAAATTGTGATTGTTTCCATGTAGGGAGTTTATCTTGTCCAAGAACACAAAGCAGACCTAAATCACCTTATACAAATAGAAGTCTATCTTAAAACTTGAGATCCAGATTTAGAGGTCCTGCTGACTAAGAATACTATGCTGGCACCATACTGGTACTCCAAACTGCACACAACTTGACTTCTGAGTTGAAGCATCTTCTTATCAACCTGATTTAACAGGAAAAGCTGAGAAGCCAATGTCATGTACATTATCAGCTTCTTCCACTTCTCCCTCTTCATTTCAGTCAACTTTATACACAAGCTAAATTTAATCAACAAAATTTGCAAGAATTCTTCCCCACTTTAGTATCTCTTAATTTTGCTAYTTCCTACATAGAATTTGCCCCAAAACCACAGTGCTTTCCTCCTAAAAADTCCCTCTCCATTTACAGTCTTACAAGATCTCAAAAGATGTAACAGCAGTTCATGACTTAGGTTTCCTACTCTTGAATATAAATCTCCTGCAGGTAGCCAGGAAGCTTATTTTYCCAAGCATCTACACAGCCTTAAGACCACAATACCTAATATATACAACCAAGGAGGGAAACAGACACTTTGTACAAGTCTAGTTTATTTTTAAAGTGGCAACAAAATACATGACTTGAACTGGTTAAAARAACAATTAAATATTAACATTTTCCCCTGCTGCTGAGCAAAAGTGTTATAAGTTGCTAAGGCTTAGTACAGACTCTTTATATATTAACAATGTTCATGTCAYTGTTGCGGGGTGGAAATCAGCTGCCATGGATGAACTATTTAATAGTACAAGCCCAAGCCTAGCGTGCCTGAGAACACTGTGAGACTGTGAGCTATACAGTACATCCATGTATAGATTGCTTTATTCATCCCCAGAATTTATTGCCTCCACTCCACCCCCAGCTCTCTTTCAGGTTCATGGCTCAGAATGCTAATTGCCCAGCTTTTGTTTAGGGCTGGCTGACTGGCTGTCAAGCCAATTCTATTGCCTACTTGACAAATGAGCTCTTTTGCCTCCCTGCAAAGGCCATAAGGAAGGTCACAAGGCTGAATATTGTGCTTTTCTTCTTCACAAGGAAGTTTAAAGGGGAGAATTCACGCCAACTTAGCAAAAAAGAGAAACTAGGCACCAAGTCCACAAATCCATCCAGAACTGGTTTGAACCAGCAGCCAATGGGACTCCTGTGAAGTGTGGATCATTTCTTTACATCCTACAGCTTTAATGTGGCCTGGAACACTATCTTTTTACCTTGAAAAGATTCTGTGAAGCAACAGAAGTATATACAAGTTGATGGCCAGGCTATAAAACCACACAGCTGAATATAAAGCCACACAATTCAAAACAGAAGTTAATCAAAATCCTCCCCACCACCAAATCAATTTTACAGTAGGAGTCCTGAAGACCTACTCCTGAAAAAAAAATCCTTACAAATTATACAACAGCAGTGTCAAGTTCAATGATAAAGAGTTAGTTCACTGGTGCAGGAGCAAGTCTTCACAGAATGGCTGAGGTCATCTGGCCACTTAGCTCTGGCTGCCTAGGATCATATCTTGATTGCTTTGGAAAAATCTCCAAAGGCATAGACTTAAAATCACCTCTGGAGAAACTGTGSAAGTGTATGGTCACTCTCACATTATYATAAAAAAGGTGATCCCTTATGTTTAGGGGAAACACCACCTGTGTTTCATTTTGTGCTCATTGCTTTTGTCACTGAGCACCACTGAACACAGCCTGGCTCCACCCTCTTTGCACTCTTCCTTCAGGTATTTCCATATTTAAAGATTCCCCCTGGAATTCTTCTCTGGAYTGAACAGACATTGTGTTTCCTTGTAGGAGAGATGCTCCAGTCCCTTAATCTCTGCAGCCCTTTTCTAGATTCTCCAGTATGTCAGGATCCCTCTTGGACTGGGGAGCMCAGAACTGGCAGAACTGGCCCAGGTGTGGCCTCACGGTGCTGAATAGATGGGAAGAATTCTCTGTCTCAACTTGTTGGCAACACTCCTAGTACTGCCCAGAACACACTGGCCTTCATCACAAGGACACAGGGATGGCTCACAGGTTTGACTTAGTGTACACCAGGACCCTCAGGTCCTTCTCTGACAAGCTGCTTTGTTGCCTTAGAGGGTACCATTACAACAGCCCACAAAGCCTAAGGGAGATCCATTCTGGCCTTAGGMAAGCAGCAGAGAAGTCTTCTAGCTAGAGAAGTGCTTTTCAGTTATCTTACAGATCTCTCAAGCCCTGGGCTTCAGCAGCTTGGCTTTCGTCTTCAACTCCTCATCAGCAGTAAGAACAACTCTGGGAGTGAACTGATCCACCCTCCACTAAATAACACATGGCCTATGAGTACCTGGAACTTGATCCTGCTGACTGCAGTTTTTGGCCACAGCCTGTCCTCTAAAGAGCTGAGTGAAATGGAGGACTCAAATTGGTTTGATGCAAGTCAATTTTTCCATAATTCTCCTACAAAACTCAAATCTGTCTGTGCTCAAGAGCTCTGCAGTTCAGCTATACCTATACAGCATTTTGCCTGTTACAACCATGAACTGTACCAGCTCATATTAGGCACTGCAGAATACAACAATTAAAGAAGCTGGGGAAAAATGCTCATTTTCAAGGAAAATCTCATGCTTTAAACCAATAAACAGTATTTTACTCCTTAATTAAAAAAAAATTCTAACAAATCTACTACATATGGAGCCTGAGTTAATAAATATTAAACTGCAGTGGTTTTATTTGCTTGCCTTAAAACAACATGGCATTTTCTCTCACTTTCAGAATCTGATTAAAAATGGTTTAAGATGACTTGGTAACAGATGTCCAAATCACAAGTAAAAACACAAGCTCTGGCTTCTGGCTATTAGCAATTATGAATTGAATGCATTYTCCATAAAAAAGGTACATGCTTTGCCTTATAGAAAATATGCAAACCCTAACAAACCAGGATTCCACCAGAACACCTTCTAGCTGTAAGACTGGCATAATTTAGACTTCAAGCACTAGAATAGTTGTTTTCCCTTTACCTACTCATTGACTCTGAAGAGGATTCTTTCGTGTTACCTACTGTAATGATACAAAAATGTAAAAATGTTCAAATTTCTTCTGTAAAGCCACTCCTAAACAATGCAATTTTCTGGAGCTTAATCATAGGTACAAGCTCTGAGAATGTGCTCAGCGTATTAAATAAAACATGTTTTTACATCTTAGATGAATAAAAAGTTGCAGCACCTCTTCCTAAGCCTACTTTGACCTAACCAACATCAGTGTCATATGGTATGTAAATATACATATACATCTGTAGATGTATAAGTGTATAGAGTGTGCTTTAGTTTATAGCCCGTTATTGGTTGTAATGATCTACATCCAAGGCACATGCACAGCACAATTAGAATAGAAGTTAACAACTCAAAATTTGTCCTGAATTTTTCAGGGGCAAAACTCCAAAGCTTCCAAATGTTTTCCTCATTCTGCTGCAAGTGCCAGTTATTACATCTTAAGTGAAGATCAATTTATAACTTAGTGTATTCCATTAAAAGAAGAAAGAAGTATTATGTAACTGAACAACACAGCACCATTGTTAATGGCCAGGTTTTATTATTTTCAATCTTTTAAACAAAGAAGAAAAGGAAATTCTGGTTTTAATTTTAGCTGTTGTCTTTTAGCAAGCCAAACTCTCCATCCAGTAAATCAAGACACACTGACTCGTTGTACATATTATGCCTTGATGTTTTACCTTCTTCCCAACTTCTGCAGCAAGCAAACTAAAAATTAGGCTCTGATTCAGAAATGTTTTCTCTTTCCTGCTTACCCCACATACACGTACTTTCCCATTTTGAAGCTGATTTTACAGTCCTGCAACAGAGAGTGTTTCAGTGGCCAGTTTCATTTTACAAATAAAAAACCCAGTTATTCTGCCTCAGGTTTGCATTGGTTTTCAGCGTTCATGTTGGCTTTCAGTGTTCTGGCTTTGTTTTTTAAGAGGAACAGCAACTAACACGTTACATTTAAAGCAAAGCCTAGTAGGGTGTTTTTCAGGAAGCTGCTTTCTAAGCCACATAGGCTCCCCCCTCCATTCCTGGGGACACACTGCCCATACTGCCTCAGCACATTCTGGTATCTGAGCTGCAGTCTGCGTGTGCAAGGATTGAAATGGTTACTTTACGTGCAAGTGTCAGCCACCGTTTCTTGCCAAGGTATTCTTGGGAAAGATGCCAACAATGTTACTTTACGTGACCCAAGTCAAGGTTTTATTTGACAAAGAGGCTTGATTTTGTTTCAGTAGGAACTGTGTGCAAACACAAAATATGCAGCATATTAGTGTTTCAATATTTAATCAGGAAAATGGAGATAAAGAAGAAAAACAAAGTCTGGTGCTATATTCAACTTACCTTTTCATTCCATGCCCACAATCCAATCCCAAGAAATGCTATGCCAAGGAACTAAAGGGAAAAAAAAACAAAGCAGGAATTAGAAATTAGTGGTGATGTCTCTCTGTTTTTGTTTTTTTTTAAAGATACATATTGGCTCATTGTCTCTGTTGGATAATCAATTTTATTAGGACTGACAGATGCTTAGTTTGAGTTTTACAATATGTATCTAGTTGTTTATTTTAYAGTTCAACTACTGTAAGCTGAAGAATTTCAAAGTTGCACAACTCAGGGATGTTCCACACAGKAGCAGTAGGTGCCCTAAGTGTCACTTTATCAGTACCAAGCAAGGCTCTTTTTGAGTTTGTACAACTCAAAGCAAAGTTCACAGTCAATAAACATATTTTGCTATTGCATTACGACAGCCTGCACAAAGCAATTGTTCTTGCAGTGCTCTCCCAGTGAGAAAGTGATTTTAAAAATCCTATATATGTGTTTATTATCAGTTTTAGCTAAACTAAATGTTTCCACAGAAAATAACAGAAAATAACCCATAATTTCTGAAGGGGAAAAGTAATGAAAATAATACTGGTCTGAAAGACTAAGGATTTTTAAAAGCCCTGGAGCCAAAATTTTATAACTTTTCTGATACTGACTGTTTCATAAAGGAAGTTACATTCCCTTTATTCTCCAAGGGATTCAACAGCACCAAACTCAAGAGACAGTCTTTCTCCCATGATGGAAAATGGAAACCCCATCTTTGATTTTGTTATAACCCTGTATTCTCCATTCCACTGAATAATTTGAAGTGCATCATTTCCCTCCAAACCTACATGGTTTCCATACAAAAGCTACACTAACAATCAGTGAAACAAGTAAAACAGGCAGAATAAGCACTTCACCTCCCAACATTATTACTGCATATTTGGCACAGTACAGTATCAGTCATATTAAATGTTTAAAAAACATTTCTTATATGGCTGAACACGTCTMAATGTCCATCTGTCCAGCTTGTTTATCTGATTTTAAAAGTGCAGACTAAAAAGAAAACTATTTTCACTGTAGTTTCAAGGCATGTAACAGAATGTTGCAAGAACATAAAACTCTGGGTATTTCTCTCATTTCTCCACACTGCAGTGTACAGACATTTTGGCACATAAATGCATTTTCTCTTAAGATCTGTGTAAACATTTAAGTGCCCTAATGATTTCTTTTTTGCGAACAGGATGAAAGTATTTTTCTGTTGAATAGTGGGAAGAGGGAGGAATAAACTTTAAAACCCTTCCCAAAAGTGATTTCAACAGTTTCAAAGAAAGACCTTCTTCCTTACATGCACTTTCTTCGAAGGGGGAATTTTAGTTTCGTATTACAAGGATATCTGTAAAGCATAACCYAGTATCAAGTGGAATATGCTCACTACAATACCCTGAAGTTCCCATCCRCATCCCTTGCATTTCTGTAAATTTATCCTCCAACTGTGTGCCAGTGACCCAAAGGACCATGCACACTGGGAATGAAACTTTTCCTTTTTGACTTGAAGAGTCATGACTGTAAATTTAAACAATATTACAAGACAGAATTCTTCAAAGGAAACTGTTGTAGGCTTGGCTGCATTTTAACAAAAGATAAATGGAAATTTTTCCCAGATGGAAAGCAGGACTGCTGGTCAAGAAAGTCTTACTTCGACAGCCTTAATTATTTCTAAAGTACAAGACATGGATTCAAGAAAGTCCATAAGCCTCTTGTGATAAACAACAAAAAAGCCAAAAAAGGTCATCTTACCTGTATTAAGACTACTTTTTTAATGTTTATACTGCTTGCCAAAAGATTGTATGTAACCTTCCTGACTGCAGCAATTATCTGAAACTTGAGATAAAGCTGTTCAAGTTTCCAAATCTCTCAGACAAATGCAACTCTTTTTTTTGCAGTAACAGGCTCCTTTCCTTCTTTCTTACACAGCCAAAAGCACCACAACCGACAGAACGGGGAGGGGTGCTGAAGCTATATATTATAAAAATTCCTAAATTGCATTGGGCAGTGGCAAATTGTTATTGGTAAAGGGGCATAAAACATTGTATTTTGTGAAGAGGTTATTATGGTTTTGAACTGAACAAACATGGAAAACTCAAATGGAAGTATTTGATCAGCGCATATGAATGTRACTTTACAGCTATACACATCAGCTGCAGGTCTGGCCCAGCTTCACTAACTTTGTATAAATTTAATCCAGTCAAGTGTCCTGATCCTTCACCAGAACTTGAGACTTMAAGATAAGATTACCTCATGGGTTGCAAAAAATGACTTAACAGTAAGCTACACAGGTCTCAACTCAGGCCGAGCTCATCTTTGTTCATAGATTGGGCATTCAGACTGTACTGGGCTAAACTGAAGAACCTAAAAAACCAAGGTTTTCTAGCTACTGCCAAGAAAAAAAACAGAAAACTCAGTTCTCAGAGTTTTCAAGAGGATGGGTGAATTACACGCTGCTCACTCCTCTCCATATCCTAAACCAGAAATGCTTTTTTGAACAGATGAAGAACAACAAGCAAAACCCATTAGGGGAAAAAKATTTGGAATGGAATCATGAACTCTATCACAAGATGCTGTGGAAATCAAAAGCTAAATGGCATTCAGAAAAAAAAATTGATAATTAACAGACAGCCCACAGCTATTGTAATGTCATTCTGATGCAACTTCTGGCTCAGAAAGCATTCACACTGTCACTCATTGGGACAATACAACCAGGAGAAGATTGCTGTATGCATGCTTTGTTGTTTAAATGCCTCTTGCCTTGGAGAGACTTTATTTGCTCTACTTGAGACAAAACACAGAGATAGGTAGACCACTGACTTAGGCCCCTATAGTCATGCCCCAGAAAGGYCCACCTTTGCACAAACACAGTCTGCTACGGGGATAAAGCACACAGGAATGTTCTCAGTAATCCCCATGGACAGAAAACAGATGTTCATGAGAAAACTTACACCTCTCACCAGGATTAATTTTGAATTTTCTTGACAATTATGAAAGAAACTCCTGCATAACATAAAAATATTTKGAAGCAATTCCAATAAGCAATAAAAATGTTGAAGTTTACCTCATTATCAACAAAACACCTTACAGAGAAAGTCTCAATTCTCCACAGACATCTTGTAAGACCATCTGGCCTAACTATAAATGGTCACCGGTGCAGAGCATGCAAAATCTTGGTTTCCTTTTTTYCCTTCCTTTTTCATACAATAATTTGCAGGAGAATATTAAAACATTTCTCTCTGGAGCAATGCTCTCTCTGGAGCATTAGCCTTACAAAAAAAAAAAAAAACTTGCATAATAGTACTTTCTCAGCCATAAGTTTTCTATTTACAACAAAACCCAAATGTTTTTCTATTTTTCTTCTATAAAGATTATATGCATGTAAAAGTAGAAGGTGTAGCAGTAATTGTAYTGTTACCCTACTCGTAAAATTCACATGCAGTTTTCCAAAGTTAATTGACCAGTGTTTCAAGGTGCACATATCTTAGTCTTGACTGCACAGAGGAAAATCATTCTTTCTTAGTAGGGATGCAGCATCACACAGCACAGCATTGCATTTAAAGGATATTGGAGCAAATACAGACACAAAGGCTAGAAAACCTTTGAGAGGTGCTTAATCATGGAGTGATCAGCAATTATTTCACATACCGAACTTTTCATCTCAGCTGACATTCTTAAATAACTTGGCACCAATTTTCAACTACAAGGATGACAGCAGCAAGCCAAGCAAAGGCTGGTTAATGTGCCACATGCTAAACCAGTGTATGTTCAAGTGTAATCACATTAAAGACTTGTCAGAGGTGGAAGTCTACTGCAGCACCTAAATTCACCTTCCTTCACACCAGCCAAAGCCTGCCAAAAATATCAGAGACCAGAACCAGAGCTTTCTTGGGTTTGGGGGGTGTGGGAGGGGAGTTGAGCCCTGTATTTTGACAGTATCAAAAACTCCCACCTGCCACTYTGAGGTGCCAAAAGAACTTTGTGCATGGTGTTAGCAAGGAGACTATCAGGATTCCTATGGGCACTTTGGTGTTTCTCCCACACCAGTGTGCTGTAGATTATTCACTGAGCAAGACTTCCTGCTGTGTGACTCAGGCAGCACAGCACAGAACACAAGGTACAGTATTTCACCAACAGCACAGCGGTGATCAGGACAACATGAAGTATAGTATTTCACATCCTGAAATACAATCAGGGAAACACATGACTTCTGACCTTTGTACATATATAAAATAGCGCTGACAAGTTCCTAACAAAACTCCAAAACCCCAAATGGACAATTTTTCCCAAAGAACTTCCTCTGCAGCAGTSTGTGCTCAGACTCACTCAAAGTTATTGCAGCTGCAATACTCACTGCTTTCTTTAAAGTATTTTATGCCAAATCAGTCCTTTTRCTTTTTAAGCCAGGGCAAAAAAAGGAGCTTAATGTCTGCAGYAGTTTTAGTCTGTGTCAAAAAAGGATTTTATTGTTGTTTTTGTCACTTGTTTGTTTTTAAGTAGCTCTAACAGAGCAAGAGCACCAAACCAGAAATCAAATTGAAGTTTCACATGATTTTTTTTCTCTCTGTCATGCCACTGATATGGCATGATACTTTGCTTAAAATATGTCATTTAGCATTCTTTCAAGYAGAACAGATAGGACATCCTCTCAACTCTACAGCTTTCACCTGGACCAGTATCACTTGGAAGGAAGGAAAGTACCAGAAGTCTGCTCTTATTTCTTTTTCCATATGCCCCAGTTTCAATGACTTCTCCATTCTCAACACAAATTGTTGAAGCATTTCATTTTCACGTGACTAAGAAAGTGTACTGATGAAAGGAGAGGCAAACTGTTTAAAGCAYACCTACACATTTACATATCTATGCTAATGCTTACAAAGAATGCTTTCTCCTAAAGCGCATTACTTGTCTGCCTTGAGACAGTAACAGCAAGAAAACTCCAAGTACTGCAGTCAGTGAATGAAGATACCGATGCAGATGGTGCATAGGTGACTAATTACCATTTTAGTTCATGGCAACACTCAAGATATAGAATACAAGAC